GATGTTTCCCCAGCTGCAGGGTGTATTATTTGAATTGTATTTGTGCACATTATCTGTTTGTTTGTTTGTGGGAATTTCATCAAGTATTATTCTTCGTCCCATGTTAATGGAGAAAGCAAAATTCATATAGGAACAATACAAATTTAGTTACGCAAGAGCACGGGGCACGTGTTAATATTTACAAGTCGTTTGCAACTTTGCATGTGCATAATATATAGTTTATGATGTAGTTTTACTTATTACTTGAGCAAAAAGCAAAATTCATATGGGGACAAATTTAGTTATGCAATAGGACATGAGGGCAGGTCAAGATTTACAAGTCGTTTGCATATGCACAATATATATTGTTTATGATGTAGTTTTACTTTAAAACGCAAAATTCATATGGGAACAAATTCAGTTATGCAATAGGACAAAGCATTGGTCAAGATTTACTAGTCGTTTGCATGTGCACAAATCAATATATAATGTTTATGATGTAGTTTTACTTTAGCAAACTATAATAAGAAATCCATCTTCTCAATATTATCATCATAAATTGTTTTGCAATAGAAGTTGAACCCCTCGCATGAAATACAATTTCTAACTTTTATTCTAATTGAATCTCTCTCTCTCTATGTATACTAATATGAGTCTTGTGTGCAGTGCACGAGTAAAAGATATCCATTAATATTTATAAATTAAAAATTCTCATAAATTAAAAATATGGAATCAATATGTAATTGTAACATTAGATATTTTGGAAAAATAAAATTTTTGTACAACTTGAATATATTTCAATCAAACGATATTGCAATTACAATCTCTATTTATCTTCTCTGATTCTTCTTTTCATGGGTTTGAGATCTTGAAAGATGGATTTGACGATTGAATCTCTTTCATGATTGAGATTGAATTTCTCTAACATTAATTTGCTTGGGGGTCGAATGACTTTTTCCCGTATTAAATATCAGGATTCCGGATTGAACGTCGATCTCCAACTTGAACGTGTTTGAATCTTCAAGAACGTCTTCAAATCTTCAAAAGAGTTCTTGAGAGCTCTTGAACTTGAGATTTTAATTTATGAGGTAACTTTGATTTATTAGGTGTTGTGGCATTGAGGATAGCCCTATTTATAGGTGTAGGAGAGAGAGTCTTGAAGAAAAAAACTTCAATTTGATTGGTCCTTCATGATTTGACTCTTTCATTCTCTTATCATAATCTCTTATTTATTATTGATTTATGTCCCAAAAAAAAAAAAAAATACATTAATTATTAAAATATTAAAATTTCGATGTTTACAGTTATACAATTACCTATTTTAATTTATTGAAAATGTTATATAAAGTTTAAATTGTACAAAAATTACATAAAAATATATATTTAAAATAAGTACACAAAATAATTGACTATTTCGTTTATGTCCAAGTTAATATTGACCCACAAATTATGAATAATTATTATTTTTAATTTCTTTCCATATATTATTTACAAAATTAAAATCATGCAACTAATAAAAGTAATAGCTGAAAAATTTGTCAATATATTATATTCTAAGTTTAAATCATGCAACTAATAATGTAATAGCTGCAATATTTGACCAAAATGGTTCGGGGATTTTTTTTAATTTTTGCCAAAAATATTATTCAATATAGTAAATATTATTTCATAATTGCTGCTATAACAAAGGAAAGTAAATAAATAAATTTACTTACTATACATAATTTTTATCAAATCTTTTAGTCAAATTTGTGATTCATGCATATCTAGTCGAATAAAATAATATAAATCTTCCAAGATCCTTCAAATTTCCTAAGCAACCAAATCTGATATATTTAATCAAAATTAAATCCTACAATATTTAAGAAAAAATTACTTTAATTAAATAATATTTTTATAAAGTACTGAGCTGTTTAAGTAATCTGAATCAATCAAATTGAAAGATCACGTGTATTTCATAGCTTGTGTCTGAATTTATAGTCAAATCATTTGGTCCAATAGTCCTTCTATGATAAAGGAAGTAAATAAATAAAGTTAATTATTGTGCATAATTTTGGCCAAATCTTTTAGTCAAATTTGTGATTCATTCATATTTGGTCGAATAAAAAAAATATAAATCTTCCATGATCCTCCAAATTACTAAGCAACCAAATCTGCAATATTTAATCAAAATTAAATCTACATTATATATTACAAAGCACTTTAATTAAAGGATGTTTTTGTAAAGTACTGATTTGTTTAATAAATCTATATCTATATAAAAAGAATTACCATTTATCAAGAATAGTAAGTCAATCATTGGTCAAAACTGGTTAACATTAATTACATACCATTTATAGTATCTTTCTAATATTTTTTTAAATGTTGTCCTTAAAATGAGGAGTTTGTTACTTTTTATTTTCAAAAAAGTGGGACTGCTATTTAAATTTAGTCTATTGAATATTTGTGATGGTTTGACATAATGTGCATATCAAAAGCTGATAATGCATTGCATTAATTAAATTTGATTTACAAAAAGCTATTTTTAAATCTGAATATAAATGTACGTCACGACTGCTAATTCAATTAAACATCGAGCAATTATCTTCTCCCAATTTAAAACCAGATATTCGCCTAATACAATTATTTTGTTTAGCATCTTTTTTTATAATAAAAAAGTTACAACTGATTTAATAATAAAACAAGTTACGTGTTATTTTTCCTAACCATAAAATATACTTTTGTATTTTAAAAATATCAGAGACTTTTTTTTTTTATATAATCGGCTAATAGCCTAATACATATGTTTTGATTAGCATGTTTTATTTAACAAAATAAATTACGGCTGATTTAAGGGTAAAAATATTAAAAAGAAACATTTGTTTATTTCTTTTAAAATAGTTTTTATAACAATCTAATTGAGCAGTTTAAATTAAAAAAAAGTTGCGGCTGATCCAATTATTTTGTTTGACAATTATTTATAATGGAAAAGAATACACGACTCTAATTTTGAAACAATAAAAAATTTTATGGTCATTGTTTAAATTAGAGATTCGAAATAAGAATAATCTCCATATTTAAATTGCTTTAATTGTAAAACGCGATGTATCCAATATTTAGATAGATTTATCACATATCATCCCTTATATTAATGATTTTTTTTATATCAAAATACCAAATCAAAATTTTACGGTCTTTGTTTAAATTAGAGATTCAAAATATCTTATTCTCCATGTTTACATTGTTTTAATTGTAAGACGTGATGTATACAAGATTTAGATAGATTTATCACATATCTCCCATAAATTAATGACTTTAAAAAAAAAAAAAATCAAAATACCAAATCATAAAGTTGCGGTTGATTTAATTATTAAAAGATATTTTGCAATCATAGATTCAGGTTATCTTTAAACTCAAGATTTAAATTGCGATATGTAGATATGGACATATTAAATACATATGATCCCTAAAATGAAGGATGTTATTCTATTAGAAAACACAAAGTATGAACTTAAGATGTAGATTTATCATGCACGTGTACTACAATTTTACATGCTATGAAAGTCATATTGTTTACCCGTACATCGCACGGGATACGCACTAGTCTGAATCAATTAAATTGACAGATCATGTGTATTTTATAGCATGTGTCGAGATTTCGGTAGATTTTGTTTGGTCCAATATTGTTGATATAACAAATAAATAAATTTAATTATTGTACATAATTTTGATCAAATCTTTTAGTCAAATTTGCATTTCATGCATATCTCGTCGAATAAAAATATAAATTGTGAGTTGGTGGTCTTGTCACCCATTGATGCACGAAGGGGTAACTGAGCCCAATTGGCGCTCGACTCATGCAAGGATTCAAATTGGTGTTCGTCTATCACCATGCTTGGTAGATTCGGCCCCGACTATGTGTTGCTTGCGGACTAATCTCTATTTTTTATTATTAACACGTGTTCACATGTTATGTTTTTATTGGATGGGAAGTTCGTATATCAACAACGAGTTCAACTCATTTATTAATATTATTAAATTGAACGTGAAACTTAACGAACTAAGTTATAAATATTATATAAAAAATTCGAGTTGGTCTGAAATAATTGTATTTTGTTGTCGAGTCGAGTCGGACATCGAGCACTCGGGCTCGCGCAGGTATCAAGAGAATCAAATATGACTTGATAAAATAAATGATGGAGTCGGCCCAACTAGTATGGAGCACTAGTAGGTTTTCTAAAGCGGTGCCCATAAAACGTACCCGTAAAGCGCAACAGCCCATAAACCTGACAGAAAAAAGGAAAAAGACTCGCGGTTTACAGTTACAACCACGACTTTAAGGTTTAATCGGACAAAGTGCGTTTTTCAAACTTATGTGTAAAAGCGTGTTCGCACCCTATCTGAGAATCAGTTCGGTGTGACTCAGCTGGATCTCGATATTCCTCTCCAATGGCTGCTTTCACATTCTCTTCAGCACTTGCCTCCCTTCACTCCCATCGGATTTTCTCAAATTGTTCTCCTTCCGGAAATACCTTTGCTAGTTCCTTCTATCCTCGTCCCTACCCCGCCGTTATCTCTTCCTCTGGACGCCGTAGTCTCAGATCTCCGCTCAATCGTCGCCATCCGAGCGTCGTCGTTTCTGCGCTACAGAATCTGTCGGATTCCGAGCTGGTGGAGGTATCTTCCGATTGCGACGGAATATTACCCTCCGGTGCCGGCGTCTACGCCGTCTACGATGGCGACGGCGAGCTTCAGTTCGTCGGCATAACGCGGAACCTCGCCGCCAGTGTCCTCACCCATAAAAAATCGGTGCCGGATCTCTGCTGCTCCGTGAAGGTACCATAATTACTTCATACTTTTTTTTTTCTGTTTTGATAATACTTTATTGTTTCACATTTTTTGTCAAAGTGTGGCTTAATTGCCATTTTTGCTTTGATACATCATACATGGAGTTTGAAAATTCACAAGTTATTGTGTAAGATAGTCTAATGGTTAGACTAGTCAAGGGTCTTACATTTATAACCAAAAAAAAAAAAAAATTCCTTATTCATGTTGCTTTAGATTATTATGGAAAGTATGCATATCTCTTGAAAAAGGTACTGACTAATCGTTAAGCAGATAGTCTTACTGTTGATCATTTGTTGCTGTATTATTTTCTTTAGCTCAATCGAGGTAATTATGAACCAAGCCTGGGAGCTGTGCCTTAAATTTAGAAAATTGTTGTCAATGCAAAGATCCGAGTCCAACCTGGTTAATGGGTAGAAACAATCATACCAACTGAAGGAAATTTCATACTGTTTTTAACAAAAATGTTTGTGCGGTGAAATGTCATAATTTTGTTTATGTTGCTTTATAGAATGAAAATTCGGTTTGAAATGCGCATAAGTATGATTATCCAACTGTTGGGTCCAACCAAGACTTGTCTTATTGTTGAGAATTAGTTGCTGGGTTATTTTCTTTAGCTCAATCTGGTATGGGTAAGAATGAACTAGGCGTGGGAACTATGCTTTAATTTTCGAAACTTATTGTCAATGAAAAGACAGAGTCCAGGCTGGTTAACTGTTAGAAACAATCGTATCATAAAGCAGCCTTATTCAATGCCAAATTTTGGTAATGAAACAGGCCATTGCTCGAAAACCAGTCAACTTCTCAATTGATGAATGTGCCAGTGTTCGAAAAGTCATCAGTTATTGGCACATTCATGCATAAAAGGAATCCATGATGTGACAATGAATCATGATCTATGTAGCTTCACCCGACGAGTGGGGAACGAGTGGCCCAATTTGTGACGCAGCGAAAGCGTACGAAAGGGAAAAACAAGGGATAAAACTCGCGAGAATATATTCTTATTTCAGAAAATTTGTTGGACAAGCTAGTAATGTAGGGCTTTGAGGAGTCTTTTTAAGGATTCCTCCTTTTTTGTTGTAGACAGTTGAAGATTGAAGATAAAGTACCTATTCGAGAGAGAGAGAGATTTCTCTTCTCTTATTTCCCCATTCGTACGCTGCGCTACATCAATTTGCTGCTTAAAAAATACACTACATTCAGTCGAGTGAACATGTAGAGTTCTCTTGTGTTCCATCTTGACAAAACTATCTTATATTTCTGCAGGTTGCGGAGGTATCGGACCCCAACAAAAACGCGCTAACCGAAGCATGGAAATCGTGGGTGCAAGAGCACATATCCTCAACGGGCAAAGTCCCACCGGGAAATGAATCCGGAAACTCGACATGGGTAAAAAACGCCCCACCACGTAAAAAGGCCGACCTGCGACTGACCCCCGGCCGTCACGTGCAGATATCGGTTCCTCTGGAGAGCCTTATCGACCGACTGGTGAAGGAAAACAAAGTGGTGGCTTTCATCAAAGGCTCGAGAGGGGCCCCACAGTGCGGGTTTTCGCAGAGGGTTGTGGCCATCCTCGAGAGCCAAGGGGTGGATTACGAGAGCGTGGACGTGCTTGACGAGGAGCATAATGGAGGGGTTAGGGAGACTTTGAAGAGGTATAGTAACTGGCCCACATTTCCTCAGGTGTTTGTGAATGGGGAGTTGGTCGGGGGTTGTGATATTTTGACGTCCATGTATGAGAAGGGTGAGCTGGCGGGTTTGTTCGAGTAGTAGGGGATGAATGTGCTCGTTTTTTTTCGCTTTCCCGAATGTGTGAGGTGAGATTTTTTAGAGTGTTGGGAATGGGTGAGCTGGCAGCGGGTTTGGTCAGTAAGGGATGAATGTGCTCGTTTTTTCGCGACTGCGTGAGGTGAGATTTTAAGAGTGTTGGGAAAGGTGAGGTGAGGTGAGGTGAGGTGAGGTGAAGGTGAACTGTGTTTCAGCGTGTGTGTGTGAGGGATTGGTGATTCTTGGATTGGTCTGTGTGCTATGTGAGTTTTATTTTTATTTTATTTTTTTTTTTAATGCGTGGCCCGTGCGATGCACGGGAAAATAATATTACGATTAGATTATAAATTAAATATATAAATAACATTAATCATGATTTATCCATTGTTTTTAAATTAAATTGGATTAGACACAATCCGACCAGGTGGACCGAAAACTGGTTTATAACCAGTCAAGTTCGCTGAAGAAAAATATTTGTTATTGAATATGTCAACACCAGTCGGTTGGACTGGTAGAATCGGTACGAATTCTAAATTAAGTTTGTTACATTTAAAATTATTTTAAATAAAATTACATATTTACATAAAATAGAGATTTACAAATTGTTTATTAATTAATTTAAACATTTGAATTTATGAATTGTTTATATATTTAAGTAACACATTTTACTTAAATTTATTATACAAAGTACTATATATATTAAAATGTTTATAAATTAAAATCGAAACAAACCACAAATGATTTAATAGAATAACTTGATCGTTTCGATGACGGTTCAATTCTGAAAACCATATTCACTGACCACTGTACATTAATAAAAATTATAATAAAATTCTATTTTATTCACATAAATATTAATAAAATGCTATATAAATATTCATTAATCATCAAACATGGTGTCATAAAAGTATTGTTAGTATTGTTATTTGAAGTTTGGACAATTGAACTGCATCACATTTACTGTAATAAAGTATTTTCAATCTTAAATTTTATATTTAGATTCAGTTGCTATTTGGT